ATGCGGGAGTCAACTACCCCCCAAGAGCAGTTGGACTTCATCGCCAATGCTCGGCGCTTTGACCCCTACAGAAATACATATAATGAGGGGGTGGCGCCAGCATCCCAATTTCTCTTGGAATAGCAACACCACTAAACCACCTGGTTTCCCTGCACCAGCTGGTGGTTTTCAGCAGAGGCAGCCTTTCCAGGCTAGACAGGGGACAGCCCCACAGCAGCAGCCCTACCAGCCTAGGCAGGGGCAACCATTCCAGCAGCCCCAGCATCAGTATGCTGAGCCAGCAGCAACTTCGACTCCAGATAATCAGATGACGAATCTGGAAAATATTCTAGCTTCATTCATGACTACCACTCAGGCAACCGTCACGAGGTTGGACCAGAGCATAGCCTCACAGGAGGCAGGTCAAAGGAACCAAGGTGCCATTTTGCAAGATCTGTAGAACCAGATTGGTAGCTTGGCTCGCCAAAACACTACCAGGGCACCGGGGACTTACCTGCCACCACTATTCCGAATCCTCGTGAGCCTCACCAGCACCAGCAGCTAGATGCCATCACTACCAGGAGTGGCAAGACCACATCTGCTGCTCCTGCCCAGCCCAGTCGAGATGAGCCACTACCTGCTTCAACACTTCCAGCTGATAATGAAGAAGTGGGGGAGAGACAAAGAAACACCTGCTCCCAAACCACAGCTTGTGGTTAAGGAGCATGTACCTCAGCTTCCTTTCCCCACTCGCCTACATAAAGACAAGCTGGAGACTGAGTTTGCCAAGTTCATGGCAATGTTGAAGCAGGTCAACATCAGAATGCCTTTCGTGGAGGCACTATCAAAGATGCCCAAGTATGCCAAGTTCATTAAGGACCTCCGCACCAACAAGAAGAAACTTGGGGATCTTTCGACAGTGATGCTGAGCGAGGAGTGTTCTGCCATCCTTCAGAACAAGCTGCGCGAGAAGCGAAATGACCCAGGGAGTTTCACTATCCCTCTTGTTATTGGCAGCATGCATGTAGGAAAGTCCTTGGCAGACCTAGGCGCTAGCATAAATGTCATGCCTTACAAATTGTTTAAGAAGCTAGACCGAGGTGAACCTAGAGCTACTAGGATGAGCATTCAGTTAGCTGATCGTTCTATCGTGCATCCTAGGGGTATCATTGAGGATTTGCTTGTTAATGTGGGTGCATTCACATATCCTGTTGACTTTGTTATTTTGGATATAAATGAGGATGTGGATGTACCTTTGATTTTGGGTAGACCGTTTCTCGCCACCGCCAAGGCGCTTATTGATGTGCATAGTGGTAAATTGATTCTGCGTGCTGGTGATGAACAGGCTACTTTTTCTGTGTCTGAGAATGGGAAACACTCTCATTTGCATGATGACATAGATTATTGTGATGTGCTTGCTGATTTTGAGACCGCACTCGCTATAACGAGTGCGGATACTGACGATGCTCTTGAGCGTTGTATTTTTCTAGGTAAGCAGGCATCGCAGGAGCCGCAGCTGGCGGAGCAGTTGGCCGAGTTGGAGAGTGGCACATCCCTGGAGGGCGACCGGCTGTTCAAACCGATCTCATCCTCACCTCGCATCACTACCTCCTTGGAGGAACCACCAGAGCTGGAGCTTAAGCCTCCTCCTTCCAGTCATCATCAGCTCGACCCTCACGCCCGAGCAGAAGAATAGACTGGTGGCCTTGTTGCAACGGTACGAGCGAGCCCTAGCATGGAAGATCACAGATATTTGGGGGGTCAGCCCTTCCTTCTGCTCCCACCGGATACTGATGGAGGATGAGATGCGGCCAGTGAGACAGCCGCAGAGACGACTGACACCGAACCTGGAGGCTGTGGTTCGGGCAGAGATCCTGAAGCTGCTGGACGCGGGGATCATCTTCGCCATTTCCGACAGCGAGTGTGTCAGTCCCACCCAGGTGGTACCCAAAAAGGGTGGGATGACTGTGGTGCCTAACGAGAAGAATGAGCTGATCCCGATGTGCACGGTGACTGGGTACCGTGTCTGCATTGATTACCGGCGTCTCAACGACGCCACTCGGAAGGACCACTTCCCGCTGCCATTCATTGACCAGATGCTGGAGAGACTGGCGGGGCACGAGTTCTACTGTTTCCTAGATGGAATGTCCGGGTACTTCCAAATCCCTATTGCACCGGAGGACCAGGCGAAGACCACTTTCACCTGCCCCTTCGGCACATTTGCCTACTGGAGGATTCCATTCGGGCTATGCAATGCCCCGACCACTTTTTAGCGATGCATGCTCGCCATCTTTGACCGTCTGGTCGGCGAGATTATGGAGGTTTTTATGGAATATTTCTCAGTTTATGGAGACTCATTCTTTCACTGTCTCCATAACCTGGAGCTTGTCCTTAAACGGTGTGAAGAAACGAACCTGGCACTGAGTTGGGAGAAGTGTCACTTCATGGTTCGAGAAGGCATAGTTCTTGGGCATAAGATCTCCAAGATGGGGATTGAGGTGGACAGAGCGAAGATCGAGACTATCAGCAAGCTGCCTCCTCCTACAACTGTTAAGGGGATCCAGAGTTTTTTAGGCCATGCAAGGTTCTACAGGCGGTTCATCAAGGATTTCTCGAAGATCGCCTTGCCCCTGACTAAGCTTCTAGAGAAGGATGCCCCCTTATAGTTCACTGATGCATGCACAGCGGCGTTTACAACCTTGAAGGAGAAGCTCACCCAAGCTCCTATCATGGTTGTTCCTAACTGGTCCCTACCATTTGAGCTGATGTGCGACGCCAGTGACTTTGCTGTTGGAGCTGTCTTGGGGCAGAGGCGAGATCAATACTTCCGACCTATATACTACGCCTCGAAGACCCTGAATGATCACCAGGAGAACTACACCACCACGGAGAAGGAGTTGCTTGCAGTGGTGTTTGCCTTCGACAAATTTCGTCCTTATCTGGTATTGTCCCATGTGACCGTGTATACGGATCACTCCGCGATTCGATACCTGATGAGCAAGGCCGATGCCAAGCCTAGGCTCATACGATGGATCTTACTATTGCAGGAGTTTGACATTGAGATTCGGGACAAGAAGGGAGCGGAGAATGTTGCAGCCGATCACCTCTCCCGGTTGGACGCACCCCCTGCGGACAACCTCGAGGAAGAGATCAACGACTCCTTCCCATATGAGAGACTGATGATGATGTGCCTGGTGGAGAGTGTCACCCGCTAGTACTCCGATTTTGCGAACTATCTGGTGGGCCAGCAGCTGCCCAAGGGGATGACAACCCACGCCAAGAGGAAATTTTTCTCCGACCTGAAGCACTACTTCTTGGATGACCCTCATCTCTTCAGGATCGGAGCCGACGGGATAATCCGTCGATGTGTTATGGAGAGTGAGATGGACGGCATTCTATCTCACTATCATGAAGGACCTACTGGCGGTCACCACGGAGCAAACCGCACAGCGAGGAAGGTGCTACAATCGGGCTTCTACTAGCCCACGCTCTTCAAGGACGCAGACACCTTCGCACGCAGGTGCGGCCGATGCCAGAGGTCAGGTAACATCTCTGCCCGTGATGAGATGCCCCAGAATGTGTTTATAACTTGTGAGCTTTTTGATGTCTGGGGTATCGACTTCATGGGCCCCTTACCTCCATCTTTTGGTAATACCTATATCCTTGTTGCTGTTGACTACGTCTCTAGGTGGGCTGAGGCACAAACTTTGCCCACTAATGATGCTAGACGTGTTTGTGGTTTTCTGAAGCAGCTATTCTCCCGGTTCGGGACACCTAGAGCCATCATAAGCGACCGAGGCACCCATTTCCAGGGCCAGTTCGATAAGTTGCTGTCTCGCTATGGTGTAACTCATAAGGTGTCCGTGGCCTACCATCCTCAACAAGTGGCCAGGCCGAGCTGACGAACAGGGAGCTCAAGCGCATCCTGTAGAAGACGGTGAATCTATCCCGCAAGGATTGGTCCACCAAGCTCGATGATGCTCTATGGGCATACCGCACTGCTTACAAGACGCCCATTGGTACCTCACTGTACCGGCTTGTCTATGGAAAGGCATGCCATTTTCCCGTGGAGCTAGAGCACAAGGCCTTCTGGGCCCTTAAGCTGCTAAACTTGGATGTTAGTGTTGCAGGTGTTGAGCGCAAAATACAGATGCTGGAGCTGGAGGAGTGGTGTTATCACTCCTATGAGAACACCAAGCTATACAAGGAGCGCACTAAGCGTCTGCACGGTTGCGGGGTCCGAAAGAGTTCCAGGTTGGTGATCGAGTTCTCCTTTATAACTCTCGCCTGAAGCTCTTTCCCGGAAAACTCCGTTCCCGGTGGTCTGGACCGTACACGGTCACACAGGTGTTCCCGTATGGCACGATTGAGATTGCCAACCCGCAGACTGAACCATTTAAAGTGAATGGCCATCGTCTCAAACTCTACTTGGGAGGCGAGGTCGAACGTGCGGAGTTGGCAATGGACTTCGCGGACCCTTAGTTCCGCCATGGGCGTCCAGCTAAAAGACGGTAAAGAAGCGCTTGTGGGGAGGCAACCCCGCCACGGTTTGCATTTCTACCCTTTGTTTTTTTTTCATTTTTTTGTCGGTTTCTGAGTCTTTGAGTCTGTCTGGAAAGTATTTCGTGCCTCGGGTGGTTCTTTTTAATGTGTGATTGGGTAAATTTTAGAGCCGGGGCACGAATGAGTCTTGGTGGTTTGAAATTGGAATTTTGAAAAAAGGCAGATTGGGCTCGGCACGAAAAGCACGGGCGCCAAGGGAGGAAAAAACGACCGTGTTTTCCCTCCTGCCCGCCCGTGTTTTAATATTTGGCATGCACTGCACGCGGCAGTAAAAAAACGGGCGCTGGGCTTCCAAAACACGGCCGTGTTTTGGTCCCAGCCTGCCCGTGTTTTCAAAGGGAGTGAACACGGCCGCGGCAGTAAAAACCCGGGCGCGGAACACGCCGAACACGACCGTGTTCCAGCCCGCCCGTGTTTTGCCCTCCCCCCTATAAAAGTCGATTTTCAGCCCCCCCCCCCTCCCACCAGATTCATTTTTTCAAAATCCTCACCGCCTCTCTCGCCGGAAACTCGGCCTTTTCCTCTTCTCTGTCGATTTTCCTGTCATAACTCCCTCTCCCGACCTCCAAATCACAAACAACGACCGCCCCCACGCTCCTGGCGTCGAGGAGAACAATCCACAAGATTTGGGCTTGTTTGTCCGAGGTTGGGTCGCCGGCGGCGAGTTCTCCGACGAGTCTCCGGTTTGTTTTCCGGCGACTTAGGGTGTTTTCTTCCACTTTCTTCACCTCTCTCGTGGTCTCTACTTGCGTCTCCAGGTGTGTTCTCAATGTCTTTTCTTTTATTTCTGGAGAATCGATACCTAGAGTTAGGTGAAGAACATGTGATTGTGGCATTATTTGAGGATGATTGGGTAGGCCGATGACGCTCTTTGCTTGTTCTATTTTTGCCTCGGGATTTCCGTCATTCGACCTACCATTTGCATGTTGCATTGCATGTGTGCTTGTGTGGTTAGTGTGTGGTGGCTCGATTGGTGCTTATTTAGTACGGTTTTGGTATGCTTGTTTCACCGAGGTCCTAGTCCACTATCCGAATCGCTCGAATTGAGGGTCCCCGGTGTGTTTTGTTGTGTGATTCTCGTGTGATGGGTATGCTTGTGTCGCCGGGAGTCTAGTCCACTGTCCATATCTTTCGATATGAGGGCTCCCGGTGTGGTTTTGGCCTAACATTGACCCTGTTCGCTTGTGTACCATTTGAACTTCCTTGTGCTTTGCACGATCATGGAAGCCTACCTCGGCCAGTTGAGCATCACCCAACGCCATCTGCTGTGGAACATCCGTAACCGCACCATCGCCGAGCACCTGCACCTCGATTTTGAGGTGTTCGAGGCGCTTCATGCCAGGCCGCAGATGGAGGCCGTCGTTCGCCCCTATGGTTGGCGGCGCCTTCTCTGCCTCGCCGAGCCGACCTACCAGGAGCTCGTCTGGGAGTTCTACGCTTCCTTCAGCCATGCCTCGAAGGGGTCCGCCGACCATGCTGATGCGGTTCGTTTCACACTCGGCGGGGTGGAGCACTCCGTCAGTTACTGGGAGTTCGCCAATGCACTTTGGCTCAACTCCCCGCACTCCAGCGACCGGCCCCTACGCTTGGACCTCTCTAATCCCACCGACTTTGCTTCCCAGGCTTACTTCCACCGAATTTGCCTGCCGAACAATGTGGATGAACAGTACATTGCTAGCCAGACGCGGGCCTCTCTCCTCCGTCCGGAGTGGCGGATCCTCAACCACTTGCTCACCAATTCCTACACACCCAGCAAAGGTTCGTCCAACCGGGTCACACTCCGGACACTATGGTTCATGCATGCGATGGGTCATTCTGAGGACACCATCCAGCTGGGCTCTGTGCTCGCCCGGACGTTCACCGAAGCCGCCGCCAGCCAGAGTCGCAACCTTGTATGTGGCCTGGTGATAACCGCCTTGGCCCACTACTACGGGGTCGACTTCACTGGGATGACCTTGGTCCACGGACCAACCCCGCTCAGCGAGGCCACCCTCCGCCACAAGCACATGGTTGCTCGCCACGGCGTGTGCTCTGGATCGCGGGCCTTCCTCAGCCACCTCTACCTGCAGCGGGCGACCAGCCAGAGTCGAGCGCAGCTGGGGGTCGCCGGGTTCCCCGTTGTGCTGTTCGTCGTGACCAGGCTCCTGCGAGCCCCTCCGCTGCTCCCCGGTCTCCTGCTCCCAGGTCTCCGTCTCTCGAGTCTCCTCCTCTAGTGGTGGTGCCCATTTCTGACCAGTTGGCGGCCATCGCTCAGCAGGACCGAGGGCGTCGTCTCATGTCAAGCCAGCACTACATCATGTCCTACCTGGGCTTGGATCCGAATGCAGTCCACTACCCGTTCGTGCAGTCCCCAGGGTTTGAGGACGAGTACCCTCCACCCACCGGCGATGGTAGACCTGGTACTCCGGTTCTTTCACCCAGTGTGTGTCTTTTGTTGTCTTTAGCTCTGTGCCTTAGATTGGTACCCCTTCTCTGGACTGGTCTGCCTTCCAGTCCCTGTTCCTGTTCTCCTTTCACGGTAACATCGTTCCCCTTCCCTCTGCTCCATTGAGGACATTGTCGCATTTAAGTGTGTGTGTGGGGGGGGGGGGGGGGGGGTTGTTTGTATTAATTGGAACGTATATGTGTGCTTGGAGCCTAGTCCGCTGTCCAAATCTCGAGATTTGAGGGCTCCAAGCACTGCTGTTTGCCTGATGTTTGATCGTATTGGCAATGTGGATGTGATTAGTGAATTGAATGGCTTTTGACTTGATGCATGACAACTTGAGTGTGACTAAGACAACTTATTATGATGACTGAGATGTGCAGTAGAACTGTGTAGGGGTTCAGTTTTTCAACTGTTTGCTTACCAAGTGTGACTTGGATTGATCACTTGCTTTTGACAGTCATTTATGCATCTAGTTCAAGTGTTTTAAAAATGTGCAGAGGTGGTGGTTCTCTTAAGAAATGAAAAAAATGAATGAAAGAAAAAACAAAGACAAAAAAATGAAAGCTGTCTCACTGGCCGCATCTTATCCTCCAGCAGTATCCGGTGGGAGCAAAAGGAGGGGCTGATCCCCTGAATATCTGTGATCTTCCACGCAAGAGCTCGCTTGTACTGCTTCAACAAGGCCACCAGTTTGTCTTTCTGCTCGGGTGTGAGGGTCGAGCTGATGATGAATGGAAGCTTATTCCCCTCCTGGAGAAATGCATACTCCAAATGAGGAGGGAGGGGCTTTAGCTCCAGCTCCGGTGGATCCTCCAAGGAGGTAGTGATGTGGGATGAGGATGAGATCGGTTTGAACAGTCGGTCGCCCTCCAGGAATGTGCCACTCTCCAGTGCGGCCAACTGCTCCGCCAGCTGCGGCTCTTGCGATGCCTGCTCACCTAGCAAAATACAATGCTCAAGAGCATCGTCATTACCCGCACTCGTTATAGCGAGTGCGGTCTCAAAATCAGCAAGCACATCACAGTAATCTAAGTCATCATGCGAATGGGAGTGCTTCCCATTCTCAGACACAGAAAAAGTAGCATGTTCATCACCAGACCGCAGGATCAATTTACCACTATGCGCATCAATAAGCGCTTTGGCGGTGGCGAGAAATGGTCTACCCAAAATCAAAGGTACATCCATATCCTCATTTATATCCAGAATAACAAAGTCAACAGGATATATGAGAATGCACCCACATTAACAAGCAGATCCTCTATGATACCCCTAGGATGCACAATGGAACGGTCAGCTAACTGAATGCTCATCCTAGTAGCTCTAGGTTCAACTAGGTCTAGCTTTTTAAACAAATTGTAGGGCATGACATTTATGCTAGCGCCTAGGTCCGCAAGGACTTTCCTACATGCATGCTGCCAATAACAAGAGGGATAGTGAAACTCCCTGGGTCTTTACGCTTCTCAGGCAGCTTGTTCTGCAGGATAGCAGAACACTCCTCGCTCAGCATCATTGTCGAAAGATCCCCAAGTTTCTTCTTGTTGGTGAGGAGGTCCTTCATGAACTTGACATACTTGGGCATCTTCGACAGTGCCTCCACGAACGGCATGCTGATGTTGACCTGCTTCAACATTGCCATGAACTTGGCAAACTCAGCCTCCAGCTTGTCTTTATGTAGGAGAGTGAGGAAGGGAAGCTGGGGTACGTGCTCCTTAACCACTGCTGTGGCTTGGGAGCATGTGCTTCTTTGTTCATCCCCACTTCTGATTGTCAGCTAGAAGTGTTGAAGCAGGTAGTGGCTTGTCCTGCCTGGGTTGGGCAGGAGCAGCAAATGTGGTCTTGCCACTCCTGGTAGTGATGGCATCCAGCTGCTGGTGCTGGTGAGACTCACGAGGGTTCGGAATAGTGGTGGCAGGCAGAGTCTCCGGTGCCGTGATAGTATTTTGGCGAGCTATGCCATCTATCTGATTCTGGAGATCTTTCAAAATGGCACATTGGTTCCTCTAGCCTACCTCTAGTGAGGCTATGTTCCTATCCATCGTCGTGAAATTCGCCTGGTTGGTGGTCATGAATGCCTGCAAAATATTTTTCAGCTCCGTCATCTGATTATTGGAGCTGCAGCTGCTGGAGGCTGGGCATACTGATGCTGGGGCTGCTGGAATGGCTGCCCCTGCCTAGGCTGGTAGGGCTGCTCCTGTGGGGGTGGCCCCTGCCTAGCCTCGAAAGGCTGCCTCTGCTCAAAACCACCTGCTAGTCTTGGAAACCAGGTGGTTTAGTGGTGTTGCTACTCCAAGCGAAGTTGGGATGCTAGCGCCACCCCTCATTGTATGTGTTGCTGTATGGGTCAAAGCACCGAGCATTGGCGATGAAGTCCAACTGCTCTTGGGGGGTAGAAGACTCCCGCATAGCCTGGCAGTCTTCCACCAGATGATTCAAGCTCTCACACCACTGACATTGAGCTACTGGAGGTCCGCCCGGACCTCTGCCCGGAATAAGACTGTTGGGCTGCTTCAATGTCTGCACCAACTCAGCCACCTGCTGATCGAGCCGGGACCTGGCCTCCATGGCGTGCACACCACGGTCCCGGAAATTCCTGCCTCTAGTGCTCTGCCCCCAGGAATGATCTATGGCAGCCAAGGTACTGATCATCTGATTTAGTTCGGGGTGGAGTCTTAGTGAGAATATCCCCTCTTGGGCATAGAGACTCAATCACCCTCTGGCTTTCCGGAGAGAGAGCACTATAGAAGTTCCCCACGGTGAATGCATCACTGAAACCATGATGGGGGCACTGCCAAAATACCCCAAGTACTGCTCCCATGCATCGCGAAGTGACTCGTCTGGCTCTTGGCGGAAGTGAGTGATCTCTCGCTGGATCTCTGTGGTCTTCGATGCTGGATAGTACATGTGCACGAACTTGTCGGCCAGATCGTCCCAAGAAGTGATGGACAATGGGGACTAGGTCTCCAACCACCTCTTAGCATTCCCCGCCAGAGAAATGGGGGAAGAGGTGAAGGCGGATTGCGTCATCAGGAACACCGTTTAGCTTGAACCCGTTCGTCAGCTGTAGAAAACGGGAAAGATGCACCCTTGCCTCCTCATCCTTCAACCCATGAAACTGGATAGAGGATGTAATGAGTTGAATCCATCATGGATTTATCTTGAAGTTGTTCGCTGGAATGGGTGGGTAGAGGAGGACAGGGCGGATATCAGCAATCCGTGGAGTGTAGTAGTAATCCAAGGTGGGACCCGGCGGCGGTGATTGATGATGAACCCCATCGGCTTGGGGTATTGGGTTGTTCCCCAGGATATGGTTCAACGGGGGAACCTGGAGAGGTATCCCATATGGCGGGTTATGGTCTCCTTCCATCTCGTACTCTTCCTCGAAATCGCTGCTCAAGTGGTCGCCTATGCGTTCCTCGTAGCCCTTCTAGCTTGCTGTTGTCTCCTAAGTTGGCGACAGGTGCGTTCAAGCTCCGGATCCAATGGCAGTAAACCTCGTGACTGGCTACGGGTCATGCACTACCTGCACACAGTCAAGCAGCAAACCCGTGAAGGCACAAGTGTGACAAAGCAAACAATGCGAAAAAGAAAAGCTAAATTAACAGAATTCACGTTTCTTCAACAACCTAGCCGTTCCCCGGCAACGGCGCCAAAAACTTGACTCGCTCTTACTGTCACTCTAGAAAATGGCCAAGTGTAACCACCTCCTAAAGCATAATATAGCAAGTTTGGGTTTTAATGTCAACCCGGGTCCTAGATGTGATGACTACTCCGTGAGTTCTTATTATTTAGCAGTGAAACTTTAGTGAAAGTCAAAACAAGCAAACAAGCAAGCAAGTAAAAGGTTGTTTTCAAGTCGAGAGAGGTCACCCGGATATGGTTCCCCCTAGACTGCAGTTAAGCCGGATTGTAATTTACCAAGTTCATGTTCAAAGGTAGTTAAACTGCGGGAGGTTCTAAAACAGTCTGAAGTCTTGACTAAAGGTCTCCAGACCCTCTCAGTCTGAGTCTCCAGCAGGCGACTAACCTCCAACGGAGTAAAAAGATTGAGGCCCTAACGAACCAAACCTCCACTACCGAAATGAATTCGGTACAGGATAGGGAATTGACTTCTCGACTAAAGTCGTCAATTCCCTACCTTCAATCAAGGGTGCTCTATCAACCTAGGCAGATATTCTCTTTCTAGGTTAAAGCAGAAACAACAGGAATTTGATCAGGATTCATGCCATTCAACAAATCAAACCTTAATTGAATATAATCATATCAATGAATTTGTACTTGGGTTCATACAATCAGACCTAAATACAAATCTAGGGTTCTTCATACCCAGGTGAATAAGAAAACTACTCCATAGAGAGAGATGGAAAATCAAGCTCAGATGCGGAAACCATACTATGAAGGATGATAATCTGCTTCTGGCACTCAATCAGGTCTTCTCCAAGCTCAAGCCGGGCTCCAATGGTGATGGAGATCGATCTATGACACTTGCAGAGTCAGGTTCGTCACTTTCTCTCTCTAGGTATCACTCTATCTCTCTAAAACTCGGAACCCCTTCTCCTTTGGCTCAAATCTGGCTAAAAAGGTCGACTTTAAGCAAAACACGGTCGAGGGCACGGCCATGTTTTTCTTTTGCCCGTCCGTGCCCTTGCCACATGTTAAAAACACGCACACATCTGGGGAAAACACGGTCGTGCCTATAGATGGACACACCCGTGTTTTCTGTCATTCCCGCCGGTGTTTTGGGACATCGCAGGAACACCTTGGATCAATCCTCAGCATAAATAACACGGTCCAGGAACACGACCGTGTTTTTGTTTAGTCCAGCCCGTGTTTTTCCTCCACATCAATTCTGCTCTCGGCAATAAAAACACTGGCGTGCTCTTTGGTGTACACGGTCGTGCTCTTCAGGCCTCCTGCCCGTGCTTTGGCCCCAGCTCGACCGAATGACCTCCAAATGCCCCGAAACTTGTGCTTAGCCTTTCCTTCAATGTC